TCCCATCTAGGTGAGAATATTGTATCCCCAGCTTCCGCCTTTCCCATCTAGGTGAGAATATTGTATCCCCAGCTTCCGCCTTTCCCATCTAGGCGAGAATATTGTATCCCCAGCTTCCGCCTTTCCCATCTAGGTGAGAATATTGTATCCCCAGCTTCCGCCTTTCTCATCTAGGGGAGAATATTGTATCCCCAGCTTCCGCCTTTCTCATCTAGGCGAGAATATTGTAACCCCAGCTTCCGCCTTTTCCATCTAGCTGAGAATATTGTATCCCCAGCTTCCGCCTTTCTCATCTAGGGGAGAATATTGTATCCCCAGCTTCCGCCTTTCCCATCTAGGGTAGAATATTGTATCCCCAGCTTCCGCCTTTCTCATCTAGGGTAGAATATTGTATCCCCAGCTTCCGCCTTTTCCATCTAGCTGAGAATATTGTATCCCCAGCTTCCGCCTCTCTCATGAAAGTGAGAATGACATAGCCCCGGCTTCTGCCTTTCCCATCTAGGTTAGAATGACATAGCCCCAGCTGCCTGCAGACTCTTGGGATTCTCGTGTCACACATCCCCGGAGGTTTAGGGGCAATCTACACCACACTGTGCATGCCCTCTTACACATCATCAGGGGGCGGCAGTCTCTTTCAGGTTCTTGCAGCTGGCTTTAGTGCTACTTTACGTTACAGTGAGTTCCTGATAATATGACAGATGGCAAATTGTTTTCATAGTCATAAAGCACCGTATCTTGTCTGTTTTTTGCCCTGAGGGTTTGCATGTCCTGTATACATTTCCCTGTGAGGTGAATTAGTTCCAGTTGCACTTGTTTTTTTTATTAATGACTAAGTTTCCTTAACAAGGGTAAAACCCCTGTCACGTTGTGTTTTGTGTTTTTTATTTTGCTCAATGCTTCTCAAGGATTTAGATTTGGATCTCTCCAAATTTAGAGGAAAGCACCTCCTTATTTAGACAGTTGTCATTGGACAAAATACCAATAGAAGATGTCTCCTCTAATTATTTTCTGGTAACCACTCAAATAAATCTCACTTTAAATACCCTTAAACCTGAAGTTTAATTCTGCTTATATTTAGTCTTTTTTGGTTGCTCCCTCCACCTCCCCTCATTAAATATGAAAATGATTAAATAAAACCTTTGCATTAATTCCTTATTTTCTATCCATTGATGCATCTAAAAACATCACAACACCCTGCCTCAGTACTGCTCTCTGGAGCCCTCGGCCCTGATGCAAGCAGTGGGAGGAGTTATTCAAATATCAGAATGCCTTGATGGATGGATGTCAGTCTGGACTGTGCAAGACTGAAGGAAGGCTAGAGTTTAGCTTTAAACATAAATATTTTTCCAAGGCAGATACGTATGTTGCTCATAAACATGACGTGATAGTTGTTTGAATCCGAAAATGTACAATGACTATTTTGCCCGTGGGTTGCAACAGATGGTTGGTATTAGAAGTAGCACAAAGCTAGGTTGTTCCCCCCCCCTTTTTGGACAGCGCAGGAAGGGTTAAAATCCATCATTACTTTTTTTTTGCTATCAGTGTTTCGTTGGGAACATTTCCTTTTACTTCCTGTTGCAGAGACACAACAGGAAGTGAGAGGAAATCTCTACAAAGTGAGGGGAACTCATGTTCTTTGGCAGTTGTCACAAGAACAGGTGTCCTCCTTGGGAGACTTCCCCTCATGTTCTGGTCATAAAATTCTGATTTGCCATCACTTTCTCCCTCTGTGACAATGGTCACCGGGACTGATAAAGGGGTACCCAGCAGGGACACAGACAATATTCAACTTCACAGGGGTTCTAACCCGTCACCGTTCCATCCAGAATGCCAACACAAACGCTTTAACTGTACCATGTAAGTGAATTAAGTTGTTTTAGGAAATTTCCGCTATTTCACTGCGGTTTCTTTTTTTTTACTCTGTTTTACAAATGTTGTGCTTTTTTTTCCTTGTTTGCTACATTTATATTATCTGCAGGTTTTCAATTATTTTGATTTTAAAACTCCATATTTTTCTTTTAACAGGTGGCAAACTCCCATTTTATCACTACTTACATTTTTCATAGTCAATGTCCTGCTGCTGACTCTAAATGAAGGTAAGTTGATTGCTGTGTTGTGTCTCAAAGGGAGATTGTGTCCACACTATGGGCAGTAAAATATTTACTTAACAAGCAGTACATGTGCTTTAAAACACATTTTTTTTCTGAACTCAGTAGTTGTGGGCACTGTGGAGTAATTAATTTTTAAAGTTTATAATGAATGGGCTCCCTCCTGCCAGGCCACGGATGAGGCCTGATCAGAGTGGACTTTCAGGGGGCAGGTGCAGTGTCCCCTGACTGTTGTCTGAGCGTTCCAGCACTGGGCACTGTGGTATTATATATATATATAATGAGGTATTGTAGATTAATGATTTAT